CGAAAGACTTGGACAGTTGTACAACTTTCATCCTTTCTCCAGGTTCATAGGTTTTCTGGGGGTAAGCTATTTCAGAGGTGCTCCTGCTTCCAAGCTTGTTTTAATTGGAGCGCTCCACCAAACCCTGTCCACCTGGGTAGCCATTCTTGTATTTGCCATACCAGTGTCACTGTGTTCCACTTCACAGTAACCACAAGATACCTCTGTACAGCAAGTGGACAGATCAGGGCTACACAATCAAAAAGAATTCTATAATAATAGTCCTTAATAAGTAATAGAAAATTTCAATAAAAATTTTTTTGTACGTATATTGTATTTTTAGAGAGTTATTTTAGGATATGCCTATGTGATGCTACATTATCTAGAAGATCATGGGTAGGTTGAGAAGATCATCCACCTCCACTGATACTGACAGCAGGTCTTTCTAAAATAATTTTGAGAAAGTAGTCTTAACACTTGGAACCCTCAAGGCTGTGGCAAGGAACTGACTTGTTCTCTTAGATTAGCTTTCAACCAAACAGTAGACAAGCTTATAAAGTGAACAATAATACCAGGGGATTTGAACTCCTTAGATCAATCAACCACAGAAGATCTAAGGGGCAGCATTTGCCCATGAATGAAGTTCTGAAAGTAGGACGGAAAGAAGAATAGAAGGAAATGACAAAAATGATGTTACAATGAGGGGATGGCAATCAATGGTCACAAAATGAAATATGTTTGAATTGTTGAATGGAAATCTAATTTTTTCTGCAATGTTTTACCCAAATCATAATAAAAAATTAAAAATGGATATAGGATTAAGTATTATTGTTATGACAGGAGTCCAGAATGAAGGCTGCATAGTGGAGTGGACTTGGAGGGGAGGGACTGTATAACAATGAAAGAAATTTTCTTTTACTTTTTAAAGAGAAGAGTGAACTGGGGCGGGGGAGAGGAGTGGTCAGGGAGAAAAGTGCAACAATGAATGAATGGAAATCTAATGTCTCTAAATTTTCAATAAAATCAGTAATAGTAAAAAGTTAAAAAATAGAAATTCTATAGCATCTCACACATAAAAAACTTGAAAATCATCTTTACATTTTAACGTTATTCTTTAAAAAATGTTTAACAGCACTTTGAATTTGCTTACATAATTGCTCATCCTAATATTCCCCATTTATACTGGAAGTTAGTTAAAAGAGTTTTGCTGGCAATTATTATGTTATACTGGATCAGCAGTTGTAAAACAAAGACGTAGTGACAGAAATGGAGCCAGAGATAGAATGATAGAATTTTGCACAATCAATGATTTATTCATTGCAAATACATTTTATAAGAAACATAAACACAGGCTATACACATAGATTTCACCTGATGGTATGCATACCAATCAGATCGATTACATCTGTGGAAAGAATCTGTGGAGAAGCTCAGTATCAGCTCTGAAAACTAGGCCAGGTGCTGACTGTGGAACATACAATCAACTACTCATATGCAAGTTCAAGCTAAAGCTGAGGAAAATTAA